TGGTAACAAACCCAAATCCTTTGCACTTGTTGGTGTTGAAGTCGCAGATCACTTTCACATTTGTGACGGCACCGAACGGCCCGAACATCTGCCACAGAATGCCCTCATCTGCATCCTGGCCCAGGTTGTAAACGAAAATACACCAGCCTGACGAGGAGTTTCCAGGCATGTTACCTCCAGACATGCCACTCATGTGGTCCACACTCATTGGAGAGAACCTGAGGACAGGAAATCACAACGTTCAGTTCATCAGATTCACACGGTGTTTTAAAGACAAAGAATTTTCATTTTTGGGAGAGAGATCCATTTAGGAACGATGTGGTAAGCAAGCAATGTCTGACTTCATTCACCTGAATCTCTGGGCCTGGTGGTGGACGGGCCCCCCAAAGCGGCGAGGCTGTGTGTGGTAAACAGGTGGAATAATTTGTGAGTTTTTCACTTGGTTGGGACTGGCAGCGAACTTTACAGTGATTGGCTCTGCAGCTCCTGGCGGCTTCTGCCCATTCAAGTCCTTAATTGCGTCCTCTGCCTCTGCTCTCTTGTCAAACCGAATGAAAGCCACACCACGAGAGAGTCCTGCAATAAGAATAAATTGTAAGCACTTAAATGCACACTAAGACATTCCAAGTGTGACAGACACAACTATGCTTATCTACCAACCTGACACTTGATCGACGAGGACACGGGAGTTGATTATTTTGCCATAACGTGCAAACATTTCTTCTATGTCCTTCTGCGTCATTGTTTTAGGCAGCCCACTTATGTAAAGGTTGGCATCCTTTATGGTATCAGAGCTTGGCCTGGCATATGACACCTGTCAGGAAGAGCAAAGTTAAAAGATCAGATCTTGAAGAAACACCTCCCCTGGAGGGGAATCATTTAAAAAACTAAATGTAAAAAAATTTAGATACAAACTTTTGCAATTTTTTCAAACTGATTTTTTAAACTGTGCTTTTTTTTCAGATTAGGGACACCCCCAATATGTTGAAAAAATTATTTGTACCATGTTTTTTTTCCTTACAAATATTAAATA